AGCCAGGATAGTAGAGGAAGACATTTCTGACTCTAAGGTACAGCTGACCCTTGAACACACAGGTTTGAACTGCAGGACCCGCTTATATGCAACCTTCTTTCAATAAAACCCTGCACTGTCTCAATCCATTGTTGGGAGTTTGAGGATGCAGAGGGCTGACTGTATGCCTTGTTTTATGCCATTTCATACAGGGGACTTGAGCACCAGGGATTTTTGTAAATGTGGGATGGGGGATCCAGGAAAACCAATCCCTCATGGATACCGAGGAATAAGTTAAGTTTGGGGGGAGTCAAAAGTTATATGCGGATTTTGACTGCATGGGGGATTGGTATCCCTGATCCTTACATTGTTCAAGGGTCAACTGTATGGACATTTGCTAAAATGTTGGTATTGAGAAAGTTGAAGAAAAATACCAGAAGAATATATGTCTATGCTTTTACCTTCAGGGAAAAAATTATTTTGTGTAGAGTTTTTATTTTCTGAAAACATGCACTTATCTGTATGCAGGGTATCCCAAAAAATGTATGCACATGTTAACAGCTGATAGCTCAATTTTGAAAAATGAAATCTATTTCCATAAGCACTGCCTTTATAATTATTTAAAGTGTGTATACCGTACATGTTTGGGGGCACCCTATATGCTTAGAGTTCACTTTCTCTAAACAGCCTTCCCTAATGGCTTCCTACCCCGGTCCAAACAAGATTAGTTACAAAAATAGAGGCTCAGGAGCTCATAAGAATAGAAGTTGAAATTTAGGACACATCCAGACTCCCTTTCAAGTAACAGGAGACTTTGGCCTTGAGGAAAGCATTAGCTATGTGTCACCAGTTCAAAGTTAAACTCCGCTGCTCTCCGATGGGAAAATCTCTTGCCAGTTATAATAAATTACTTAAGTGGAAATCTCAGTGCGTGTGAACTACACCACAGGCCTGTTAACAAGAGGATATGTGCTGGACATAGGCAGATTAGGTTTATAAATAGCCTTCCTGGCAAGTGCCTAACAAGGCACATTCACGGTTCTTGCAGGGTAATGGCCCTCAGCCTGTCCCCGGCTGTCACAGCATGGCTTAGTTTAGCGAAAAGAGTCTTGACCTTGTTAGTGGGGATGGAGGTGAAAAGAAGGTAGAAATTGGCCAGCCTCCTTCCTACGGATGGTCATTGGACAGTTCTGTTCCTCTAGCACTCTTTCTTAGAAACCCTCGGATCCAGGACCTTCAGGACTGCTTGCCCCCTATCAAGGCCACACTGATCCTGAGACCTGAGGGAGTTCATTTCCCTTGCCTAGGTCTAGACTTGCCTATTTAGAAAGTGAAGGCTTGGAGTAGATTCTGCACTTGGAGTAGATTCTCTGTAGAAGCTGGATGCTAGCAGTGTGAATCCTGAATGGTCCACAAGGAGGGAACCAAGGGAGGCATGAAAAGTGGCTCTCATTTTGGGCATGGAGCTGCCTCTCCCTCTGGGCGCTGTAAATAAGAGAGCCAACTACTCCTGCTCCATAAAGAGAAGCTACTACAATAGCTTGGCAAAAGCCAGTATTCTCGGGGGAAACACAAACACATTAGCGAGACCAATATTAGAGCATTCATTAAGTGTGCTCCCCAGAGCAGGGTTCAGCTCCTGGGAGTAGGAATAGAAACAACCTCAGCGTCCTCTGTGATTTAACAGAAATCTCCCAGGCAGGAGCCCATACAGACTTTACGGACTTTGTGCCCAATGAGGCAGACTCCTAGTTACCTAAACGAGACATCATTATAGTGCTAGCTGTAGGTAAATCTTTTTGATCACAGTGCAAAATAACCTTCAATTGAAATCAAACTCTGAAAACAACTTTATCCAATACAATTATTTGTATACAGCATTATCAGGGCATACCCCAAGCAGGGCACAACTCTTAGCAAATCATTCACTAGGCTCTCCCTTTTTATTTTACTCTGACAGATAATCACTAGACAGTTAACAGGATGTGTGGGAGAGTATCTTTCACTGAGGCCCAGGATAGAATCGTGCTTGTGGATGAAGTTTCCACAGATCTTGGGTATTTTCAAATTGCAAGCAGAGGATGGGGTGACAGGTGCTTTTCTCCTGGCCACTGCCAGGTCCCCAGGCCTCCTTCGGAGGACAACACAAGGACACTTCCATCTCTGACCGGCTCCCTCTTTTCAGGTTCGGAGATGTTCCTGTTTCCTCTCTTTTTATGAGGAGCATATTCTCTCGAGAATTAGTGGTTAAGAGCATGGGTTCTAGAGCCCGACCTGGGCACGTTTCTCATCTTCTCTGTATCTAGTTCATAGGTTTCTGAGGATTACCGTATTTTTCGGACCATAAGACGCACTTTTTCCCCCCCAGAAGTGGGGGGGGGGGGAAAGTCCCTGCGTCTTATGGTCCAAATATAGCCTACACATATACTTTTAAAAAAAAAAAGTTTTTTTACTTGCCCGGCTCTGTGTGGTCTCTGTGTGCTTGCCCGGCTCTAAAATGGTTCTAAATGCTGCTGTTTACAGGGTTGATTACATGTGTTTATGACTGTGATGTTGGGTTTTAATGCACATAAAATATTTTAGGACACTATTTGTTTCAGAATCTTTTTTTCTTCATTTCCCTTCTCTAAAAACTGGTGCATCTTATGGTCCGGAGCGTCTTATGGTCCGAAAAATAACGGTAAATGTATAAAGATGCTTAAGACCTTTGGAACAGTTTCCGACAGAACACTCTGTGATGATGGTGTTTATGATTATTGTTGAGTGCAGTGCAAAGGGCAAGTTAGAAATGGGTTAGCCTCCGAGCATCTGATCACTTGAGAATATCCAAAGGATCTTAGAAACCTTGACCTTTGAAATAACTTTCTTCCCATCATAGCCACATAAGACCTCGGGATACATATGACCTCGGATTCTTTAATCCTTGTCATAGAGTCAGCAGGACCTCTGCCTTTTCCTCCTATCACACACGTAACCTGGACTTTCAGCATGTTTGCTCTGCATACAACCTTTGAATTCATTTCCATGATATTGAGTACACAGAGCTTGATTGACATTTGCTGGTGCTTCCAGAACTGCCACGTGTGGCCATAGAAGTCCTAACTGTACCACTCCAGGGGACCATACTCACTTCAGAAGTAAATTCTACTTGGAACATGCTCAAGGCCAAGACATGCTAAACTCAATTAGGCCAAAGGTCATGGCACAGGGTTCCTAAGTAGGCAGGCACCTTTTAAGTAGGAGTGTTTTAAGTGCATTTTTATATTATGATGACTTCAAAGGAAAAAGTGTTTTCCTCTATTAATCACAGCAATGGCAAACTTCTTTACACACACTAGTATGACTAACATAGAATGGGACACTATTAAGCTTTTAAAAACCAAACTAGAAGATAAAGTCTTCTGGTGGGTTATGGCTTGGTTTCAGATGATAAAAGAGAAGGAGGCTTACCACATCTATAAAAGGATGATTTTATAATGTGATGATTGAAAACTTTTTTATACAATTGAGGGAAGAGCCCTTGAACTCCAGTTAAAACAAAACAAAACAAAAATTCCCCATGCACTAATTGATATCTGAAATTCTATAACCAAAAATGAGTTCCTTTCACTCATACCTCTAGCATGTTATATGCTGGAGGTTGGAGAAGAGGGTACATTTATTTCCACTAGTCATTTACCTTCTTGAGTGAATGAACGGACCAGGCACGTTGGTAAATAAGGATTTCATGGGTGAATGTAGAGGACATGGTGACCAGCTGGATACAAATACTGACCATTCATAATTGTGCAGGGGTAGGCTCCAGCACCAGGACTTTTATTCAGAATTAACCAAAAGTTCAAGGGCTGATTAGAAGTGTTTGAGCAAGATTTTTATATACTCTGGATGTTCTCAGCAGTTAAGGAAAAACTTTGTCTCTTGAATAAACAATTGATGCTGCATTTTCCTTTTTTAGGGCAGAGAAACTTGTCACCATTCCCAGCCCCCTACAGACGTTCAGTAAATGCCTCGGGGGTGGAATACGATTCCTTAATTCTGCTTGTTTAACTTTTATTTACATTTATTTTGTGCTGAATGTATTCCTGGGCCATAAATACTTGTTTTTCCTGGGATATCTTTTTCTCCTGTGCACCCTCTTCTGGTTTAGGAACAGTTTGCTATTTTTCAATACAGATCATCCCTGCGAGGCAAGGTGAGCTCCTGTTAATCCTGCTATGAGCTCTGTAAATCCGGGGCTCACCTGGGGATTTTATTTACCTGGATGTGCTCAATGATCAAAAGATTTACATTCAGCATTGCTCTGCATTTTTAAGCCCAGCCAGCCAAAGTCCAGTACTGTTCCTGTGGATCGGGGCCTGTCCAGCCCCACCATTTGGCCTGGGCACCTCTACCAACCCAGCCTTGTGTTGACAGCATGGCAGTGTAATGGAATCTTTTCTGTGAAGAGATGTCTTTCAGAGACTTAGTGGAATTTTGGAAATGCATACTCCCGATGGCCTGGGCAGTTTCACAGATGTTCTTCAAGTGAACACAAAGATTAGAGCTCTATTTTTATTTTTTTTAGAATTATAATAATTCATTCTTTCTTTTTTATTGTTGAGGTATTATAGATGTCCCCCATCCCTTCCTTTACCCCTCCTTTTTGTCAGGCCCCCACCTTCCTTCTTTACTTTTTTCTGGGTCAGTTGAATATTGAACCATTTTAGAGATCATCTCAAGCTTTTTATGGGAAGAGGGAGCTATCCTCACCTTATTTTGCCAGAAGACAATGAAGTATATTTTGAAATAAATTTTAGGAAATGACCAGTATCCTCTTCAGATGATGAAGGCTTTCCAGTCTCGATAGATCACGTGGGATACAAAGCCATCCTCACTCCTCACAGCCTTCAGCCCTTCACCTTCCACTCAGGACTTGTCATTACCCTATTGCATTGCCTGTGGTTCTGTATCTACTCAAGGGAAAACTAAGATTCTACAGCTAATGGTCTTTGTCATTTAGAATATTAATTTTCTCATTTCAGAAAGTGGATGTCACCAGCAGGGCTGTGATGGAAATAATGACCAAAACAATCGAATACCTTCAACCCAATCCAGGTAAGGGGTCACTTTACAAGTTCAGGGTATCCCTCCCAGTAACCTGTAAGCTTCTCTTTGAGCCATGTTTTAGGTTCGGTGTACTTCTGCTTCCTCAGCACCTTGTCTGGAGGTTCATTGACTTCAGGAATAGCACTATCAGTGGGATGGGGGTACTTTTAAGGCTCACATTGAAGTGACTGAGGGATGCTGTAGTATTTTATCTGACTGTGGTGTGTTTAACAGACTACATTGTGTGGACGGCTTGGGTGGCACATAATGTCAGGGTAGCTGTAAGATGTTATTAATGCTACTTTAATTTTCAAGTGATGATGAGAAAGAAAATTAGGATAATATTAAGAAACAGTAATTCCCAGAGGTGTGAAAAGATAGGAAGTTGAATAATTTCTGTGAAGTGAGTTTTTGTTCATACAGCTTCACTACAGTCTTTGGAGGGTTGTTTTGTTTGTTTGTTTTCTTTAAATATATTTCTATTAATTCCAGAGAGTGAGAGGGGAAAGAGAGATAGAAACATCAATGATTAGAAAGAACATTGATCAGCTGCCTCCTGCCCGCCCTACACTATGGATCAGGCCCACAACCCGGACATATGCCTTGACTGGGAATTGAAATGTGACTTCCTGGTTCATAAGTCAGCGTTCAACCACTGAGCCATGCTGGCTGTGCTGGAGGGTTGTTTGTAATTCTCCTTCCTCTCCAAGCAAAGCACAAGTCAGCATTTGTTCCAGTGAATGTGGTAGGTAGGCAGGCCATGGGAGAAGGAAGTTATCATAGAGGCAATGGAGCTCTGCCTTGGAAAGAACCAGGCAGAACTGGAGCAATCTCTGAAGGCATGAGTTGTAAGAGAGCAAAGCAGCCGAAGCTCTCACCCTGCTCCTCCCTCTTCTTGCTGTAAAGGCGTTTACAACCTAGAGTAGAGACCTGAAGCAAGGCTGAATGTACAATATTTAAGTGAAATGCAATTGCTATTTGGAAAACTGCTTACTCTTGAGACTAGTTTCTTTGAGAATTGCAAGTTGGGATTTCAGTATCTTTGGTGGCCCTAGAGAAGATGGCCTGGGCATTGGCCCAGTCTCCATGTGCTTGGATAGTGAGCATTAGTGGGCAAGAGGTAAGAAAAGGAAAGGTGTGGGATGAAAGGAAGCAGGACAGTGCAGGAGGCAGTGCTGACTAACTCTCTACTGCCCCCTGCTGCCAGCTGCAGTTTCATTCAGCCTTTGTTTACCTAGGATAGGACAGCTGTTTTGAAGATGAACAAACTATGTGGAAATAACGTTTCTATTTTTGTTTTTCTTCTTAAACTACATCAGAGGTGGGATTATATGAGGAAGGAAAATCTGTAAGTAATATGGTGGTAAGCAATAGGAACCGGGCATTTAACTGACAATGGACCAAATGGATAGGACATTAGGGAAAGAACAGCAAAAATCAAGTTTCAGAGCCTTCTTCATGACCTTCATATTCCACAGACATCCAAAAATCTCTTAAAGGTACCTGTAGTCCTTCATACTTAAGCAACCGTAATAAGTCAGGTTCTGAGAAGGGAACTACTCACCCTGCCTCGCCATAAGAAATCATACAGGGGCAAGAAACGTTTGTCCTTATCTTTATGTAGAACTTTGAAGTACCCTTTGATTACTTGGGATGTACACATGAATTGTGCTAGTAACACATTGCAAGGCCAAGATAAACATGGGGAAGGGAAGAAAAACATAGTACTTATTGAGCACTAATGCATTTTCAGTATCGTGTCCTTTATATATGCAAAGCCATCTCTAAAAGTAACCTTTTTTCTGAATAGAAAAAATAGAACACAGTTGAACAATTAGTAATATAGAAAAGGGATTAAATACCTACTGTGGTACTAAAACTCAGTGGGGACCCATCACAGTTCCTGGGTACAATGGAACGATGCTCTACTGTAGGTATTATAGGTGCAGTCCCCCAAATTCAGGGCTACCCAGTACCTCAGAATGTGATCTTATTTGGAAATAGATTGATTCTCAAATGTAATCAGTTAATGATCTTGAAAGTAACACTCCTGCTGGAATTCGGGTAAGCCCTAAATCTAAGGACTGGTATGTTTCTGAGACAAGAAGGCACAGAGGTACCGGAATGCCAGGAGATCCCGGGAGTTGGGAGAGGCGAGGAAGGATTTTCCCAGAGAGTCTCTGGAAAGAAGCCACCCTGCTGACACCTCCACTGCAGGGTTGTAGGCCCTTGAACTTTGAAAGAGTCCGTTTCTCTTGTTTTCACTTGTGCTAATTTGTTATGGCAGCATCAAAAAAATGAATACAGGAGGTTCACCACATTTCATGCATGAAAAAAAACAAGGGCCATTAAAAAACGAGGGCCAGAGATTTTAAGAAACTTTCCCAAAGTTATACACTTAGTAGGGGATGAAGCCAGGATGGAACCCAGTGTGACTGCTTCCTGAGCCCATATACTTTACGTTGATGGTCCTGCCTCTGAGAAGGATGTGCTCACCTTCATTTAGGCGGGAAGGGACATTCACTGTTGGAGGGGGGCAGCGGAAACTCGGAAAGGAAACAAATTGTGGGGTTGAGACATTTTTATTTAATCTTTTAATTTTATTTATTTCAGAGAGGAAGGAAGAGGTAGAGAGAGAGAGAGAAACATCAGTGATGAAAGAGAATCATTGTTTGGCTGCCTCCTGAATGCTCCCAGCTGGGGATCTAGCCTGCAACCCTTCAGTCCACAGGCCAACACTCTATCCATTGAAACCAGCTAGGGCGAGGCATTTTATTTTAATAAAAAGGATTATAGGAAGAGCTAATTGGGGGCGATTTACACTTTTAGAAATGACACATTTTTAATAGAATGCTGAATGTGCTTTGTAGCTGCCAACATATTAGTTTTATGGCTGTTTGCAATTGAACGGATATCTGCCATCCAGGAGAACAGTAAAGGCCCATCATCTGGCAATCCCAAGTTAGTTCCAGAAAAGCAGTTACATATGGGCAGGCCACATGCATATGCAAATAAGTGCCATCCAGAAGACTTCAGAACAAACCAAAGTTCATGGACTCATTCTATAGAATTTAGGTAATCTGTGTTTAATTGGTTTATGATAGAAATGATTTCTTTCCTCTGTGAATTTCTTGCCTTGAGAACAGACAATGGATATAGTGTTCTTAAAAGATGCTGGCAGGTCACATGTGCTTGTTCAGAACCCAAGTGTCCTTGAGAAGGGATACAAGAATATAGCTAATACTGAGGGGCACCCAGTTCTTAGGCACAAAAAAAGCACCAGGAATATCCCCACACTCACACAGTGTGCTAAGTCTTTGACAACTCAGCCTCTCGGTGAACCCAGGAGCTGGTCAGCCAATATGGGTGGGTGCTGGTCCAGAATGAGCAAGATTGGCTTGCATGAGGACAGGGGCTGAGGTAACAGCTCCATGGCCAGGCCAGGGGAATCAGTGGGAGTTGATGCTCAGACGGTACTTGGAGAGTAACTTGTGTCAGATGAATACTCTAGGATGCTTTCTGCTCTTCAGATCTTGTGGTTGTAGATCAGACACACCTCTTTTATTTTTGAATCTTAGTATCTATTGAAATAATGACCAAAGAGAGTTTGATTAATTTTTATGAATTTGTTGGTGTGCTCTGTGTAGGTCCTACATCCACTCTTATCCATCTCCAGAGCAATATTTTTTTTATCATTTTTTATCAAGTTCTGTATATTGCACTGGGTGCCCACCACCTAAAGTCAAATGACCTTCCATCAGCATATATTAGGCTCCCTCTAAGACCCCCACCCCCACTCCCTTCCCTCTGGTTGCCTGTCTGTCCAGAGTGATATTTTTAAAAGGCAAAGCTGATCACATCATTATCTTGCCTAAAACCCTTCAGTGGCTTTTCATTGCTTTTAGGATTATGCTGAAAATGTTTAGCACAGCTTTAAAGGCCCTCTCATCATGGTCAGCCTGCCCTTGCCCCTCCACCTTGCCAGGCAAATAGCTCCCACAAGTCCAGTGTGAAGGTTACTTAGAAGCCTTCATTAGGATCCCTGGTCAACATCCCTCTCATGATTCCAGCTGCTTTTCCCTGGTGGCACAGGCCAATTATTGTAATTTTGTGATGTGTGTGCTTTTCTTTCTCCTCCCTGGTAAGGACAGGACTGTGCCTGACAGACTCAGCACTGCATGTCCGGCCCCCAGCTCAGGTCTGTCAGCCAGTGGCATTTGGATATTTGAGTAAATGAATTATGAAGCACAGTGGACAGCCAGTGCCTAATGTGATAAAATTGCTCTAATACAAAAAACAGGAAGGGAAGTCTTCCTTCTCCCTAAGCCATCAGCTTTACCCAGGTGACCCACAATTACCAAATGTATTCACTTTTGTGTGAAGACCAGTTTGAGATGCAGTGCAGGTAGAAACGGGACTGAAATTGAGCCCCTGCTCTCCACACCTCACAGCCTAACTTGCATAAGGTACATACACTCTGAAGAGAGTGGCCCAGAGGGCTTCCCGGCCAATTCCTTCTGGAAATGCTAGCTAACTGATGAGGTGAGGCAGGTGGATGGGGTCACAGGTCCACAGGTATGCCCTGTCAAGCAGGGCTTTTGAGAACAGAGAACAGAGCTGTAAAGTCTTTCACTTTGGACTGTGAAATTATTCTAACAGGAGCAGTATAAACCGGTACAAGTTTCTAACCTGCTTAGATAAATAATTTGAACATGGCAAATAATGTGCACAAATTCTTTATGAGTAAAACCAGCACAGAAGATATAAATCCATTATATATAAATTTCAGAGAGCAAAGAAGCGGGGGAGAGAGATAGAAACATCAATGATGAGAAAGAATCATTGATTAGCTGCCTCCTGCACACCCCCTACTAGGGATCCAGCCCTAACCAGGAATTGAACCATGGCCTCCTGGTTAATAGGTCGATGCTCAACCACTGAGCCACATCAACTGGGCAATTTTCTAATTTGAGTATCTGATACCTTCTGGGGGAAATGCACTAAATCAG